CACTTATGGTGATTAACTTTGATAACCCCAAAAATTCCACTGTCAAGTTTCTATTCTTTTACCTTGCAATCAAAACAAAACCAAAAAACTATGAAAAAATTGTTTCTTTTCATTTTCCATGTCTAATACAATGATGAATTTAACTCAAATGGAGTCTTATCCCCCTTTCTAACATAAACCCAATCTCTACCTAGTAACACTGAATCCTAAACCACAACTTTAAAAATGAAAGACTGCATTCATCTGGGGAACATAAAGTAACAAAATAGGAGACTAACACCCAAGAATGGCTGAGAGCAGTACCAGGAATTTTGCTCCATGGCTTGGAGGCCAACCACACATGCTGGGGGAAAGGGGAGCTCAGATAGAGAAGGGAGCACCAAATAAAGGTGTTGGGAGGATCCTCCCAGGATGGGAGAAGCATGCTGAGAGTAGACTATAGACCAAACATGATTGTCACCCATTGCCTCTTTTGCAAACCACAACACCAAATAAGAGAGAGAGAGAACAAAAGGGAATGCCCTGCCACAGGGGCAGGGTGGGATGGGAGGGATGGGGGGGTAGGAGGGATACTGGAATCCATGGTGGTGGGAAATGGGCACTGGTGGAGGGATGGGTATTTGATCATTGTATGGTTGAGACCCAAGCACAAAAAATTGTCAGTCTGCAACTGTACCTCATGATATCTCTCTAATAATAAATAAATAAATAAATAAATAAAAATGAGGAGTGTGCTTTAGTCACCCCTAGTCCTGCATCATATTCATATCACAAACCCTCAGCGCTCAGGCATCCCAGTCATTTAAATAATCAGCAATAAACTAAATATGTTCTTGGGATTTGAGGAGAACCAAGCCACAACTCAACCTCCACAAACAGGCACCAGAATATTCCTCATATGTATATTCTTCTGAGACCCCTTTAGTTACAATTAGCTCATCTGGATAGGTGACACCTACCAAACAGAAATCAGACAAAAAAACCATTAAAAAAAACATAAAAAAGATAATTCCAACATAAAGGAATGTTATAGGCCTAAATATTTAAGTAATATAGGTACTCATATATTTTTCCCTGAAACCTCAATTTCAGAACATTAAGGGATTCTACACAAGTTAAACAATGGCCTATTTAATATAAGCATATAACATGGCCTTACTTGGCTGAATGACAATAGTCCCTGTGCCATTTGTAAGTCCAAATAAGGTAGGGAAATAACCTCAGAGTTCTCAAAACTTTTTAAATGCAAGATCCCAAATGGTTTACAAGCCTAACCAAAATATTTTCACAGCTATCAATGATCCCCTAGCATCTCAAATGTTACAAAGCTAGTGCTCACATTTATTTAGAATAATTGGGGACCTTATAACAACCCCTGGGGTAGAGAATACTAGCAAGGGAATAAGTAATTTCACATGCTGGCCAAAAGTTACCTGAGGGGAGAATACTCCTGCTAGATTAGGCCCTAGTTTCAGCAAGGAAGAGATTTCCTACAAGTTCCTTAAGTGCCTGAAGATCACAGATTTGGGAAATGGACAAAGAAAAGTTGAACTACTTTTGACAAAGAATAAAATATTAAGAACTCTCTTGCCCATTGATATTAAGTACTTTTATTAAATGAACAATTCAGTCTATAGTTCATGTTTACACTGCCTAAGAATGGAGACAACCAGCTTTCTTATATATCATCATATTGCCTAGATTTAGGGAAAAATTTAAACCAAGTATAGTAACCCAAAGTTCCAAGGCATTCATGTGTCCCAAGACACATGCAATTAATACACAGGTATAACACCCAGATCTTCCAAACAGGTTTAACAGCCAGTCACAATACCCAGTTTTTCAAATACTCACAATAAGGGATAACACAAAAACTCCCAATATAATATACTGCACATTAATAGCACTTCAAAAGAAAAATTGAAAGAAGTCTGTTATCAATTATATATTTATAACACTGTTCAATATGCCCCCTTCTCCCACCCCCAACCTTTTAAAATTACATATCAACTCTCAAGTGCTAGGTGCCTGAACATCAAACATGGAATAGAAAATTTGTCTTACTTTTCCTGTATTGTTTCTCTTTATTTTGTTAAAGACAGGGTTATACTTATGGTGACAATGCTATTGGAAAAGCCATCCTCATTTTAAGAAAGAAAAATAAAATGTGCTGGCTATCTACCATGTAATCGACACCTGCATGACTCATTTCCTTTCAGCATCTCAATAATCCTGCAGCATACCCCCAATACCCAAAGCCTATATATGTATACCCCCGATACCCAAAGCCTATATAAGTAAAAACTAAGTAAACTGTTACAAATTCAAACTGTTAGGATCTAAACTTAAGTTCATACCCTTTTATGAATCTTCTTCACATTTAAGTAATCTAAGATGTTTATAAACACAGACAACCAACAATAAAGGCTTTAAGAAGTAACAGAAAGTGCTGAGTTTCTCATTTAGCATCCAAGACAAATTCTTTTAGAACATCCACTACTTCAAGAAACTATTTTCCCTAGTAATGTAATATCTGCTCTTGGGAACTGAGAGCCCAGTTGGAGAAAAGTTACTCAATAAGTTTTGAAAATAAGAGAAAACAGTACTGGAAAAAAGCATGAATTTCACACACAAACATATATATTAATCCCACTGTTTTCTAGTTGTGAGCTTTTGATAAAATAGTTCTCTTCATGATAAAAATCTACTACCTTTCTTGGGGCTTGGAGAGATAGATGATGACTTATAGGATAAAAGTGCATGTTTTTCCATGTGGAAACACCATATTCCCAACATCATATGGTGCCCCAAGTACTGCCTAAATTCCCAAACATTGCATCAGAAATAGATCTAGAGCACCACAAGGTGTAGACTGTAGCACTGTAGCACTGTCCTCCCATTGTTCATCAATTTTCTCGAGCATTTTCCCATTAACATTGTGAGACTTGTTGTTACTGTGTTTGGCATATTGAATATGTCACAAGGAGCTTGCCAGGCTTTGCCGTGCGGACGAGATACTCTCGGTAGCTTGCCAGGCTCTCCAAGAGGACAGTGCTACAATCTCAGGAGATAAGCCAGTTTATCAGCAGTTAAAGAACAGTAGAGTTCATTAAACATACACAGGATTTACACATGAAGTAAAATATTTAAATAAATATGAGAATCAGCATATTAAAAATAAACGAAGGCTATCATCTTTCTTGCATAAACCTGCCAGTTTAAAAGAAAAACTACCTTTTTAAGCTAAAGTGCCTAATGTGGAATTTTATATTCTATCTTGAAACAATAGTCTGAGTAAGAAAAGATACCAACGTACCTAATGATAATTTCTTAGTTTTGATGTGTAATTTTTCTATAAATCTAAAAGAATTCCATTTATACTTTCTATAAATAAAAAAAAGAGAGACCTATTTAAGTGATGACAAGGAGAAACACATAAATACAGTCACTAGATGATATTGCAAATTGATTTACAATTTCTTAATGGTAAAAGCTGTGAAATCAATTCACAAGTACCATTTCTACAAACTATTCTAAAAGTCAACTAGAAGGAACAATTGGTGTTTAATAAAAAGTCTTGACTTTTAAAGAGAAGTGATTCGTCCACTTCTCAGCATTATCATTTCAAAATACTGGCTCTCTGCTAATTAAATTGTGTGGTTGCTCGTAAGAAAGCCACTAAATTTCCAAGTCATCTCTCCCCTTCTATTCTTGGCTAAGACAACTAGTCAATGACAACATAGAAGCAGGGACCAAGGCGATAGTACAATAGATAGGAAACTTGCCTTGCACACAATGGACCAGGGTTGAATCCCTGGCACCCCACAGGGATCCCTGAGCCTGCCAGGAGTGATCCCGGAGGCAGAACCAGAAGTAAGCCTTGAGCACTGTAGGGTGTAGCCCCAAAATAAAGCAAAAAAAAAAAAAGAAGAAGAAGCATCTCTCACCACATATAAAATACCATATGAACTTAAAAGCTAATGACCAATAAAAATTCTCTATTATACAATTTTAAGGTCAATGAAGTTATGATGCAAAACTTACTAGTATATTTTCCCCCAGGGTCATATGATGGCCAACACTGACTTACTTTTACAAAAGTACTTCTACATTTACTGAGAATCACATTAAGTGGCTGTGAACTTTACTAGTCTTGTGTTCAGCAAGATGGTTCATATCTTCACATACTCTAGATTCTGTAAGTAAAGGGTGTGCTTGACCACCAGAAGGTAAATTCTATGCCACAAATTAGTGAGAAGCTTAAGGCTTTAAGCCTGCACAAATTTCAATGTGTGAAAACAACATAAATCCCACATACATGCAACGCTTAACGAAGAGCACAGGGACATTCCATAGTCCTTTTTAAAAATATTTTTTAAAGTGGAAATCAGAAGGCACGTTTCAAATTTCAAAGAAACCTTAATAATCTTTGAAGATTTCAAATAAGAGAAGAAAAAAATTAAACACAGCAATGCAGCAAAGTCATTTCTCCTGCTGAAATGACCTCCAGCTTCTAAGAGCGACTCTCGGTTTCGCAATAAAATAATCTGAGACTCAAACCACGTACACATAAACCCGTGTAGCAGCCGAGAACACTAAAGCTTTCCCAACAATCCTGGCAAAATCCACCTAATGTCCCTCAGCACTCCTGCTTCTCTTCCTATCTCTGCACATACAGGTACATTGACACCCACCAAGAAAATAGAACAGCTGCCAAATTCCAGTTTTATCATTTACAGACACTATTCTGGGCAACCGAAGTGCTACTAACCTGATTTCAGGGAGACAGAAAACACAGAGGAGCACAAGGGTCTATATTATATGAGTTGGAAACACCAAACCCAGGACCTTAAGGCAGCTCAGATGTCAATTTAATGAAAATGGGGTTTTGACAATAGCATCTGAACCGAGCATTTGTACTTTCTCCTCCCCCCACCCCAACAAACCTTCGGGACCCAAATTCGGCTGAAGCAACCCAGGAGCGAAGAAGGGTGTCTTACCTTGTACAAATAGCGACATTTTGGGGCTTTATGAAAATAGTCTGTCTTGTTTGTTTGTTTGTTTGTTTGTAATTGCTAGAGGAGACACCCCGAGAGGCAAATCACTCTTCTCCCCCTGCTTGAACAAATCGCTGTGCTCTTTCTTCTCCAAGGTTTAGCCACTTAGGGGAGTATTTATTCAAAGCAATTAAAACTGGCTCCCAAAAAAAAAAAAAAAAGGCAATACCAGGAAAAAGCTCCCCCCACTTCTAAAAAGGACGGAAACTTGAAGCAGCCAGCGGAGTCGGTTTGGAACTCCTGCCCACAGTGCGCTCCTGACACCAATGACGGCCAACGGGAGACACCCGGAAAAGGTAAAATCCCACGAACTTAAATTTCTTCAATGAAAGAGGCGGATCTACCGCGGCTATTTCACCGCCCCCCCTCCCCACGCCCTCGGGGGCCGGACTGCCGCGGGCACCGGACCCCCCCGCCCCCCAGCGCTCCCCCGCCCCGCGCGGCCGGCCAGTAGTGTCCAGCCAGTTCCCCGGGAAACCCGGCTGCACCGCGGCCCCAGCCCAAGCAGGCGTGGACAAGGCGGGGAGGCCGGCAGTGGAGGGGGGCCGTGCCACCACTTTTTTCCAGTCCATAAATATCCGGGGACGGGGACGGGGACGGCGCTAGAAGTCCTCGAGCTGTTGGCCGGGGCCAGGCTCGCTCTCCGCAGCCCCGCAGCGAGCGGCACTGCCCGGCGCGGCTCTCTCGAGAGGGGCCCGTGGGCCGTGCCGACCCGCGCCCCGCGGCCGCCCCCCGCGGGTCAGCAGCGCGCGGCCGCCCCGAGTCCGAGGGGCCCCGGCCCAGACACGTTCGACTTTCTCCAGCCCGGCGCGCTCGCGACCCCCCAGCTGGGCCTCCGCAGCGCTGCTCGGCGGGTCTGAGGAAGAGGAACCCACGCGTCTCTGAGCGGGGCGACGCCTCCGCCCCGGGGGGTCGCGGCACGCCTGCCCCCGCCCATCCCCCCCCGAACCTCCACCGAGACCCACCTTCCTCTTCTGCAGCAGCTGGGAAATTGGGGACGTTGACGGCGCTCCGGGAAGAAGGCTCACGGGCCGAGAGAATGTCACCTCTGAGGCACCTTTTTCCCCGTCTCCCTCTCTCCCTCCACACATGTACACCTTGAGCCCCCGCGCGGTGGTCGCAGCCCAGATGCTGACCCTCTCCGCCCACCCAGACGCCGGCTCCCGACACTCAAAGCCCCCACTTCTCCTAAACACCTCCCCTCCCCCTCCATGTGGAGCAGCCCCCCTCAATGCGGAAATGTCCCTGCCACGCAGACCGACAGACGCGGCCGCCAGTCAGGAGGCGAGGCGGACGTAGGATCTGGCCAATGAGACGCGCGGGGGTGGCAGGGGGCGGGGCGTCTGCGACCCCGGAGAGCCGCGCGGGGGTGGGCGCCGAGCCGGAGCTGAGTATCCCGCGCGTGGGAGCCGCACCTGAGGCGGCGACGCTGCGAGGATGTCTCGCCTGTAAAACTCCCAGTTGCCACTCACACTTTTGTCACGGGAGAGAATTCTCGGTGGTTGTTTTTGCAGCCTGCACAAGTCCGAGTGCCCCGGAGATTGAATCAGCGGGCGGAGCTCTCCGCGACAGCTGCCCAGTGAGAGGTGGGCCCTTCTCATACTCACCCCACCTGATCGAGAAGGGTGACGGTGCGTTCAGGAACGGGCAGTAGGATGTGGACCCCCACCTCCTCCCCGCTAACAAGGGTGGGAATGACGTGCTCAGTGACGGCTCTCTCCCACCAAACCTTACCACTTTCCTTCTCACCTTGGGTTGTCTTCCTGTAAAAATGACTCTTGTGATAGGCGCTTACTTTCTGATCAAAGTGGGAAGCACGTAGGTAACCCCCAGCAGATGCTTACCATTTAATAAATTCTGGGTGTCCTCCAGAAAAAAGAATTGTTAAGGGGTCGGAGCGATAGTACAGCGGGTAGGGCATTTGCCTGGCACGCGGATGACCTAGGTTTGATCTCTGACATCCCATATGGTCCCACAAGCACTGCCAGGAGTAATTCCTCAGTGCAGAGTCAGGAGTAACCCCTGAGCATCGCTGTGTGTGACCCTAAAAGCAAAATAAATAAATAAATAAATAAATAGATAAATAAATAAGAAAAAAAAAGAATTGTTAAAAAAAACTTGAACATCCCTAGTGGTGTGGGGACTGAAGAGGATTCTCCTACACACCAAATGACCCCTGGTCTTCCAACCCCACCTATCTATGAGAGTAGGTGTGCTGTCACTCTTAATAGGTGTGTCTATAACTTCCCATTGACATGACTCCATCCACCTGCATCCTGCATCCGGACAGATTAATTGTCCATGCTCTTTAGGTACTTCCAGTAAACCATGTAATAATACTAACAGTTAGAGGCTTTAGGCACCAATAATCAACCAAGGCACAGCGTGAGTTTTCAAGTGACTCAGTCTTTACACAAAGTAGCTCTAAAGATTTTAGTGCTCCATATTTGTATAGAAGTGTTATTAAGGTATTGCAGAAGAAGTTAGTGATTCATTTGTCATATTAATAATTATTCATTTCTCATGTGAAATCCAAATTAAGTTGGGGTTGGAGCCATAGTACAGAGGTTAAGTACAGCACTTGCTCTGCACACGTGTGGGCCAGACCAGGGTTCAATTCCCAGCATCCCAGCATCCCATATGGTCCATGAGCACTGCCTGGATTGAATCCTGAATGAAAAGCGAGGAGTAGCCCCAGTGCATGACCAAATGTGTCTAAAAACACAAACAAAAAATAAACCCAAATAACACCTCCAGCCTCTCAGCTATAAAAGACAATTTCTCCAAATCAGACCAAAGATATCCCTAAAATTTAGATTCCATATTTTAATAATAATTGGAAACTAAAAATTTTATGTAGGATTATCCACATCATTTGTGTACCATACAGAAATTGTTTTATTGGCAAATGAGCAGTACTTATCAACCATTGTTTACAAAATAAGATACTACCAAATGATTTGAACTCTACAGAGTTGTTGAGTCTGTGAAAGAATAAAGTTAAAGGGCAACGAAAAATCTTTAATTTTGCAAGGTTTAGTGATCAGTTACCGTCTACTTTAATTTCACAAATTACAGAAGAAGAAATGAATTTTAATTGCAGCAAGGGATGTTGATTAACGAGTGATTAAATATTGAAATATAGAACCAAAAGATGTTTTACATTTGGTGCTTTGAGCCGTCTCCATTGTGGCCCTGGGGATGAATTGTGTACTGTGGCACTGTCCTCCCGTTGTTCATCAATTTGCTCAAGCAGGCACCAGTAACGTCTTCATTGTGAGACTTGTTACTGTTTTTGGCATATCAAATATGCCACAGGGAGCTTGACAGGCTCTGCTGTGTGGGCAGGATACCCTCTGTAGCTTTCCGGGCTCTCCAAGAGGAATGGAGGAATTAAACTCGGGTCTGCCGCATGTAAGGCAAACGCTCTACCCACTGTGCTATCACTCCAGCCCTGGGGATGAACTAAAGACGAAAACATGTGCCCTACACTGAGAGTTTGATCCCTAGAGATACCCACAGGTACCAACCCTATTCTCAGAGACTCTGCTGTTTGGAACTACCCCAGATTAAAACAGAGTGAGTTTCAGCACCCTACAGACTAAAGCGTGCTACCCTGGGTGAACTCTTTAGCCAAAGAAAGTGAGCACTACAGCCAAGCATGTGTACAACCCCTGATCATAAAAACAACAACAAAAGGAAGGTAAGTTTTGGTGGGGGAGTAAAGAAATGAAAAAAAAAATGGGCATCAAGGTAAAGCTCAGTGGCAAAGTCCTATAAAAGTAAGGCATTGCCAGTCACTTTTGTAGAGGTGTGGTGTTGGAGCCTCATATGCATGAACTCTTATCATTAACAACATTGAAAATCATATGCTTCGAGTAAAAAAAAAACAAGTTTTGCATTTGATTCCAACTCCCACTCATAAGCCTCCAACGTAGTCCCTATAGTCCCTTCCGCTGTGCTATTTATGACCTGCTGTACCACAGCCAGAGTGTACAGTCTGACACACCACAGTAAGGTCATTGCTTACTTATTTGTATGTTTCTATACTTAATGCAGGTGTGAGTAAAGTGTACAACCTATGGCAAGCACTACAATCAGAATGTTCCCAAGCATCAGTGCTAAAGAGTGTGGCCCCCAGTAAGCGCATGTTCAAGCACTTAAACTGAAGGTGTAAAAAAAAGGGGTGCCACTCCAGATGAGCACTGCAGCTAAATATGTGAACAATAAAACCAAGTGTAATCCCCAGTTACGGCCACAGCAACAACAAAGGGAAGGGAAGAGAGAAAAAACAAGGAATTTTCAAAATTTATCTGCAAAGGCTGAGTCTAAAATGACTTGGGAAGTAGCATTCTAGAAGTCATACAAATATTCTTTCCAAAAAACATCCCATCAAGTGTAATATTTTTAATATAGCAACATAAATTTAAGTTCTCAGACCCCAAGTATTTTGTAAAAGAACCTCCTGCTCCCTGAGTCCACTAGAAACAATGTACTTGGCCTATCACATGGGGTTTCAGGGAGGAAGAGCGTGGCCAAAAGAGTTTTGAGTACTTTTAGAAGGTATAATTGCTTATCTATTTTTTTAGAAGCTTAATGCTTGAAAGTTACTTTCTTAAGTCTGTGTGTATTAAGTAATTTTATTTTATTGTGGGAGGGGCCCACACCTGGCAGTGCTTGGGGCTTACTCCTGGATCTGCACTCAGGGATCACTCTTGGCATATGCAGGGGACCATATGGAGTGGCAGAGAGCAATCCCAGGTGAAACCATGTGCAAAGCAAGAACCCTGCCTGCTATACTAGCTGTTAAATTATTTAAAAAAATAGCATGCTACTATGGAATTTCCCAAGGTACATGAGGTATACTGTTAGCATACTCGAAGTTACAGATATCTTTGCATAAAGGTGAACTAAAAAGGAATGAAGACTGGGGAGACTGGGGAAAGGGTGTATGTGCAGGGGAGAGTTGGATAATAAACTAAGAAGCTTGAAAGCCAATTTTCACGGGCAACATTTACTATCATACAAGAGTGATGTAAATCCTGTTGAAATTTCCTCACTTCTTCTTTTTACTGCCCCATAGAAACAAAATCTGTTTAATTTTTTTGATCCTGTGTTCTAGGATATATAACAGTATTTTCCTTCCTGTTTTTATTAGCTAAGCATATTCTGTGAACAAGGAAACAGGAGCCATGACAGTTTTGTTAATGAAATATCCACTTGCTGGCATGAGGCTGTGAGTTCGTTTTGGCACTGTCCCACAT